TGGGGCCTTCCTTCATTCTGCGCTGCCCCCTGGTGGTCAGCGCACATCATAGCAAATGATAGAACTCCCAGTCTTCCAATCAAACTCCCGTGGGGATACTTTGCATGTTAGCCTTTTATATATATAGAAGATAAAGTACACCTATACTCATGCCAACAGTTGTGTTCTTATATTTTCATTAAATAATATTCTTTTAAAGCAGTAGTTTCCAACCTCTAATGCTGCAACCCTTTAACAATTCCTCATGTTGTGGTGACCCCCAATTTCATTGTTACAAATTGAACATAATTAAAGCATAGTGATTAATCACAAAAACAATATGTAATTATATATGTGTTTTCCGATGGTCTTAGGCGACCCCTGTAAAAGGGTCGTTCGACCTCCAAAGGGGTCGCGACCCACAGGTTGAGAACTGCTGTTTTAAAGATTTAAAAAGAAAAATATATACTTACCCAGGTGTGTGTGTGTATACACAATGCAGGACCTGCCCCCGGGTAGTCAGTGCGCTCCCACAGGGAGAGCGTTGTTCAGCTAGAAGCCAGGCTCACGGCTAGTGAGTGGTGGCGGGAGCATCTCCCACCTCTGCGGCAGTGCTGAGGAGCAGCGATCCAAGTACTAAGCAGCAGTGAGCAGGCGGGCAGTAAGGAGTGAGGGATCCTGGATTATGAGAGGGATGTCTGCAAGGGGTCCCGGACTGCAAGAGGCGCAGGCCAGGCTGAGGGGACACTAGAGGCCCAGTGCATGAAATTTGTGCACTGGGGTCGGGGAGGTGTCCCCTCAGCCCGGCCTGCGCCCTTTCCAATCCGGGACCCCTTGGGAGATGTCTGGCTGCTGGTTTAGGCCCGATCCTGGGAATCGGGCCTAAACAGGCAGTCAGACATCCCTCTCACAATCCTGGACCGCTGGCTCCTAATCGCTCACCTGCCTGCCTGCCTGGTTGCCCCTAACTGCCCCCATGCCAGCCTGGTCGCCCCCAACTGCCTCCCCACCAGCCTAGTCACCCCTCACTGCCCCCCTGCCGGCCTGGTCACCCACCCTGCTGGCCTGGTCCCCCCAAACTGCACCCTCCCCCACCAATCTGGTTGCCCCTAACTGCCCCCCTGCCAGCCTGGTCACCTCTTACTGCCCCCCTGCCAACCTGGTCGCCCCCAACTGCCCCCCTGCTGGCCTGGTTTCCCCTCATGGCTCCCCCACCGGCCTGGTCGCCCCCCACAGCCTGCTTATTCAGTTGTTTGGTCATTCCTCACTAACCCCCCTGCCGGCCTGGTCGTAGGCAGCCATCTTTTGATGGTGTGAGGGTTAATTTGCATATTACCTCTTTATTATATAGGATCCTATCTAATAAAGATGGAATATGCAAATTTACTGTAAATTTGCGACAAAGATGGCAGTGCCCACAGCCAATAAGGAGGGAATATGCAAATTGACACGACAAGGCGAGAGGCAAAGGTGGCTCTGGCCTGAGCCAAGGCAGAAAGGCAGCTCCAGGCCGGAGCGAAGGCAGAAAGGCAGCTCTGGACCGGAGCAAAGGCGGAAAGGCAGCTCTGGGCCAGAGCGAAGGCAGTGCCAGCAGCCAGGGGAAGGAAGGCCTATTCTTGCATGAATCTTCATGCATCAGGCCTCTAGTATAGGTATAAATATATAGTACACCTCCACTGACAACAGGTTCTCTCAATCTTCAATACTTGGGAGTAAATTTAACTTAGGAGGTGTATACTGAAAACTATAAGACATTGATGAAATAAGTTGAAGAAGCCATAAATAAGTGTAAAGATAACCTATGTTTATGAATTGGAAGTGTTAATATTGTTATAGAATCCATAGCAATCTACAGATTCAATGCAATCCCTATCAAAATACCAGTGGCATTTTTCATAGAAGTATATAAAAAAACAACTAGTCAAAAAAATCTTGAAAAAGAAAAATCTGGAGGCCTCAGACTTTCTAATTTTAAATTATATTACAAAGCTATAGTAACTAAGAGTATGGCACTGGTGCCTGGCCAGGTGGTTTAGTTGGAACCTCATCCCATACACCAAAAGGTCATGAGTTCGATTCTCATTCAGGGCACATACTGGAGGCAACCGATCGATGTTTCTCTCACATCGATTTTTCTCTCTCCCTTTCTAAAATCAATGAAAATATATCCTCAGGTGAGGATTTTTTTAAAAAAGAGAGAAAGACAATGGCACTGGCTTAAAAAAGATCAATGGAACAGATTGTAGAACCCACAAATAAACCCACATATAGATGGTCAACTAATCTCTGGCAGGGGTGCCTAGAACACATAAGGATAAAGAATAGTCTCTTCAATAAATGGCATTTGAGAAACTAGATATCCACATGCAAAAGAATGAAATTGAACCCTTATCTTTCTCCATAGACAAAAATTACCTGGAAATGGATTAGATACTTAACATAAGACCTGAAAACTTAAAACTCCTAGAACAAAGAGAAAAGGCTCCTGACATTGGTGTTGGCAATTATTTATTTTTTTTAATGACACCAAAAGCCCAGGCAACAAAACAAAAAATAAGTGTCACTACATCAAACTGAAAAGCTGTTTCACAGCAAAGGAAGCAATTAACAGCTGTTTAACAATAAATGAAAAGGCAACCTACAAAATGGGAGAAAATATTTGCATATGCCAGTTAAAGAGTTAATATCTAAAATATATAAGGAACAAAATTAAGACATTTGTACTTGCCTGTGTCCACCATGCATACTGTTTGCACACTGAGAGACTCTTAAAAGCTGCCATAGTTATTGGTCCTAGCAGCAAAGTGGTCTCTATTAGTCGCTATTCAGTAATGAATAACTGGAAAGTCTATTGTTTGAGTGAATTGATAGGTGTACAAAGCATAGTGTGTATGTGTGTGTGTGTGTGTGTGTGTATATATATATATATATATATATATATATATACACACATATATATGTATATATATATACATATATATGTATATATATGAATGATATCATTCTTTTAATATGTTAGCATTATTTTAGGTTTTATGTGTTATTTGGTATGTTTTGTTAGGTTATTTTGGGGGTCTGGGAACACTCAAAAAATTTTCCATATAAATTAATGGTAATCACTTCACTTAATGCCATTTCAGTTTGTAAAAGGTTTCATAGGAATGCTCTACATTCAGATAGTGGGGGAAATGTTGTGCTTGGTTTTTCCAGCCCTTATAATAGAGATGGGCAAAGGATGTTGAGATTAGGGACTTGGTCAAACAAACGAGCCTGTACCAGTACCAATCACAGTGGGGACTGTACAAAGAAGAGAGAATAAATTGATTGCCTGATCCCTCACACTAGCTAGATATATATGTAACAAGGCAAGGTCTTCTCTTAAAGCACTTCTTACCTATCCTGGAGCAGAAAATGGGGTTGGTTTTTGAAAACAACAGGGGACATTTCTTTTGCTCTTGGAGCAGATATTCAAAAGAGAGTTGTATTAGTCACAATAGTAGCTGAGTCTGGAAATCTTTTCAAATTTATTCTGGTACTACAAGCAGCCTTAGAGAAAAAATATTTGTGTCTGTGTGTGTGTTCCAGCCTCAAAAGACCTGAGCCTAGTCTAGTAGTACATGAAGACTTGAGTCTGAGCCAAAGTCACAAAAAGGTGGTTAAGTGCAGCTGAGCTACTTCAGTTGGAAGGTACTCACTGGTTCATAGCTAGGTAGGCTTGCACTGGGCAGGTGGCCAGGTTTTCAATGGACAGCCATGTCCAATTATGGCCCATCCAGTACTGAACAAGAAGTGTGGCAGCAGAATATTTTAACAGTTGCAACCAATGCTGTGTTGGGGCTGCAGAGCTCTCTTTGTTTCAGTAGGCATGTCTTGTACCAGTGATATTAGTAACAGCTGAGAAGAATACATCTCCTTAGTTAACTAACCAGAGGATGGTTATCAGACTGTAAATTTAAATAAGCATCACTAGCCCATCCAGCTTGGCTCAGTGGTTGAGCATAGAACTATGAACCAGAGGTCACGGTTCGATTCCCCATCAGGGTATATGCCTGGTTTGTGGGCTTGATCCCCAGTGTGGGGTGTGCAGGAGGCAGCCAATAAATGATTCTCATATTGATATTTCTATCTGTCCCTCTCCCTTCCTCTCTGAAATCGATAAAAATATATTTAAATAACCATTCCTAGAGGTTTTGGAGTTTAAGCAAAATGAGCATCCCTAGGAGAGAAGAATGAAATAGAGGCATTTAACTTGGAAATTAAGAGGAATATAACATTATTTTGTCTTAGTCTGATGATAAGAAATGTGTATATATACATATAATAAAACAAGCATGTATGTACTCAAAAGTATATACTAACCTATATCAACAACTGCATACCAAAAGAATTCTAAATAAAGAGCAAATATACTGAATAGAGGGCATATTTAATTTGTGTGCTGTCAGCCCACGGGAGATTTCTAAAGTTAACCTTCTAACTGGATTTTGAAGAGGATAAAGACTATGAATCTCTACAAATCAAAGATAATTTTCTATAATAAAAGCCTAATAAGCTAAGTGCCTGGTCTACTGGTTGGCCATTCAACCAATCAAAACATAATATGCTAATGATATGCTAAGGCCACTCAACGGCTCGCTATGACATGCACTGACCACCAGGGGGCAGATGCTCTGACCGGTAGGTTAGCTTGCTGCTGGAATCCGCCAATCCAGACTGAACGAGACAGGGCCGGACACATTCTGGAGCCCTCCAACGGTCCCTCCCCAGCTGGCCAACCTCCTGCGTCTTTCCTTGGCCCTGATAGTGCATTGATGGGGTCTCTCAGCCTGGCCTGCACCCTCTTGCAATCTGGGACCCCTCACGGGATGTTAGAGAGCTGGTTTCAGCCTGATCCCACAGGCCAAGGGACTCCACTGGTACATGAATTTGTGCACCGGGCCTCTAGTGGTGGTATAAAGTTAAATTCTAGGCTACCAAGCCAAAATAAAATCCAGTGTTCTTTATTTTTTTTTTAATTGTAGAACAAATGATCATCTGCAGAAGTTTTCCTTCCTTTGAATGATCTCCCAATCTCCTCATAGTGATGAGGATGTTCTTTTGACAGTATTATCCTTATGGCAGACCAGAAAGGACGGAAGGTAAGGAAAGTCAAATGAGGATAGCACACCAGTAGAGCAGTTGAAGTAGGATATCTTTTATGGAAGTAAATTTGTGTTTAATAAAATTGTGGTTCCAGAGATGAAGTACCTTGAATGATGGACTTAGGAATAGGTAGCCACTGTGGATACTTGAGCTGAAGAATAAATAGTATTGTACAAATGCTCTCAATATTTGATTGATGTGGAAAAATCGGATGATGAGAATTCCTAATAAACCATTGTAATAATCTACACATGGATTAGTTAAGGCCAGAGAGCTGGGAAGTGGAGAAATTTGGAACTGGGAGTGGGGTTGTGGATTTTGATGGAAATGTGAATCTCAAAGGTATTACAAAGAAATGATTAGCAGAATTTATAATTGTAGATCTAAATAGAAGTAGGAAAAAAGAAAATGATACCAAGGTTTGAGCCTGGAAACACTGAAGATGTTGATAATTGTGGGAAAAGTTGTAGCAACAGCTCTTGGGGAAGGTGGACTTGTTTTTTTATTATATTTCAGAAGTTGTGGCAGTATTTAAATTAAAATGTTTTATGAACAGTGGTGGATAGGGAACAGGAGAGAAGGTAAGGAATGTATTTGTAGATGGGTGTATGATAACCCAAACTTGATAGTATCTGAAGCCATAAGACTACCCTAGAACCTTCAGAAAGGAAGTGTCAAAGGAGTGAAAAACTTGGAATATAGCCTTGGGAAATTCCCAAAATTATATGAAATGAACTAGTGAGATAGAGAGTTGGAAGGAATTGTTTAATCTCCAAGTTCTCATTTAACCCACAATGCCATAAATTCACCTAAAAATATCTATCGAAGTGGAACTTCAGTCTGTTCTAAGAACCTGAAGACACAGTGTTTTGCTTAAGGTAAAGTAAGAGAGAATGAGGAGAAATGACTTCAATGGTTTACATAGTATGACATTTCAGGATCGTACAGGGCTTTCTCAGACAGTATCTTTACTGCCACAACTCAGTGCAATGACTGTTACTGTCCCCTTTGTACTGATGAGGAACTGAAGGAAGAGCTAATTGTCTACATTTCTTTTAAAAAATTAAGAGAGTAGGGGGAAATACCAAATTTGGATAAAGAAGGGCTAGTCTTTGAGAGTACATAAGTGCTGGTCTCTTAAAATGTTCAGTGTAATTAGGGAAAAATTATTTCCATATAGGCCTTCTTTTAAAGGTGGGAACTTCTGCTTTCTTGAATATCCTCGTTGATCGTGGAAAATTTTCTTTAGTTTGTCATGGAACAGTCTCTCATAATATAGAACAGTAATAAGCAAACCAAGACATCTATTCTCTTCAAAATCTGCCAAGTTTTTTATAAAAAATGGATGAGTTGAATAGTGAATAAACTATCTTAATATTTTATTCAAAATACATGTATCTGTTTAGCTAGAGATATTTTATTTTGACATGACTTTATACTACCGTGTCTCTTATTCTTGAGGAACTTGTTTTTCTGTAAACTGATTTAAACTATAGATAGGGACTATTTATGGAAAATGCCAGACAGAAAATAAATTTATAAATATAACATAGAAAATGTACCTATCCTCATTTTATTGAAGATTCTAAGAAGCGTGTAGTAACCTTACTAGTATATCCTTCCTCCTAAACCCTCTTGTTCTTGTTGTTGTTAATCCTCACCTGAGGATATTTTTTCATTGATTTTTAGAGAGAGCAGAAGAGAGGAGGAGAGACAGAGAGACAGAAACATCGATGTGAGAGAGACACATCAATTGGTTACCTCCCGCACACACCCCTACTGGGCCCAAGGATCGAGCCTGCAAGCTTGATACATGCACTTGACCTGATTCGAACTAGGAACCCTTCAGTCCACAGGCTAACCGGCCAGTGATGGCGAACCTATGACACGTGTGTGAGAGGTGACAAGCGAACTCATTTTTTTGGTTGATTTTTCTTTGTTAAATGGTATTACAATATATAAAATAAATATCAAAAATATAAGTCTTTGTTTTACTATGGTTGTAAATATGAAAAAATTTCTATATGTGACATGGCACCAGAGTTAAGTTAGGGTTTTTCAAAATGCTGACACGCCGAGCTCAAAAGGCTCGCCATCACTGGGCTAACCCTCTATCCACTGAGCCAAACCAACTAGGACTTCCTCCTAAACCCTCTTTAACATTATCTTCAAGTCATTGTACTTACTTTTGCCACTCCACAGCACATCTCTCTTTCTCTGCCTCTTTTAGTCTCTCATTCAGTTAAACCTTCCCAGTGTGGATCTATTTTCTTAGCAGATGTAGTCAATCAACAAGGAATAGCTAATCAGACAGTTTTCCCAATATGTGACCACAGCCTTCAATGTGGGAAGATGGGATGTGAGCTGGAAGAGGCTTATTTTCTAAATTAAATACAACTTTTTACACCTATACCAGTTAAAATCTTTTCCTTGTTATATGCACTGGTATATTTATATATGTGCATATCTCTCCATTTCTTTTGTAGGATATTTAATCTAAACTTCAAAATGTATTTTTGGGGCCCTAAGTAGTTATACCATTCACTACTAACTTGCCCCAAAATTAGTTATAATCTTTGTAAATTCTTAAAATCTTTTTTTCTGTATGTCCTGTATGTTTTCCATTAGTTAAGCAACTCTTGAAAACTTCTCCTAAATATTGGAAGTACAAGAGAGTCCTGTATAGCCTTTATCCATATTCGCCAGTTGTTTCATTTTCTATACTCAAAAGCCTCTAGGTCCATGGATGTTAAACTGTGCATCAAGGTACTCCGGGGCATTGTAGTCAACTCACAGGGGCACTGCAGGATATTTTAAATTTTTGAGAGAAACACAGTGACATCTGTTGGGCATGACCTGAACTACTACTATTAAGATGGGACTTTCTTTTTAGCCTAGGAGACCTGGGAAAACTACTGTAACACTAAGGGCCCCATGAACTGAGAAAGTTTGGGAATCTTCTGCTCTGGGCATTAAAATTATCGAATAGACATTATAATTATTTTTTGTACACAATTGATCAAAACAACTTAAATATAATACCCAAGTTTTGATAAGTAATTATTAAACAAAAAAGTATATTTTTATCAAAAACACATCTATTAATGAGATGTATGGGACTTTTTTCCCCTCGATTCATGTGTCTGTATGTGAATCCTACTGACTCGACTGAACCAATATTTTGTTGTTGTTGATGTAAGCCTTAAAAAAACCTGTTTACATAAGTAAATAGATGGAAATAGGAAGAGATTTATTATAGCAATGTCATTTTTCTTTGAACTCTTTTTGAGTTACATACCAAAAATATAAGCAAAGAATTGGCAAACTATCATACTTGTAGAAAGATTTATTGTGTAGAGCTATAATGACCAGTAGCCATTAGCCATATGTGGTTATTTAATAAATTAATTAAAATTAAACTAAATTTAAATTTTAGTTTCTCAGTTATACTAACCATATTTTACGTGCTTAAAGGCTATGTGTAGCTAGCAATTACTATATTTGACAGTGCAGATATAGAATATTTCTGTCAATGTAGAAAATACTATTGAATAGTGCCAGTCTAGACATTGAAGTCATCCTCTTTCTCAACACTTAACACCGATATTTTAAGTTATTTCTGGTTTTGGTACCCAGAGGTTTTTCTACTCAGGTAAATACAGTATAGTTTTTTATTTTAATGTAATGTTATACTGATGTATTTTTTAGTGACTTGACTCTTTTAGTCAACTTTGTTTTTGAGATTGTCATTGATTTATGCAGGTTTTTTTTAATTCATTTTGCTGTTGAATAATATTCCACTGTAGAATATACTTTATCAATTTTCACACACATGGATAGCTTTTTTTATCCAGTTTGTCATTAAAACCAGTGCTTCTCTGCCTGCCCGGGTGCCTCGGTTGGTTGAAGCTTCATCCTATACACCAAAAGGTGGGTTCGATTCCTGGTCAGGGCACATACCTAGGTTGTGGGTTCAGTCCCCATTCAGGGCACATACCAGAGGCTGGCTCACTCGCGCGCTCTCTCTCTCTCTCTCTCTCTCTCTCTCTCTCTCTCTCTCTCTCTCCAAAACAAAACAGTGCTGCTCTGAAATTCTTGTTTATGTCTCCCAAGGCCTATGTGCAAATTTCTCTAGGATATATATCCAGGAGCAGCATTCCTGAACCATAGGATATTTCCATCTTCAACTTTACTGGATAATGCCAAATTGTTTTCCAAAGTGGGTATACTATTCCACACTCCCATCAGCAGTTTTTACTTCTTCATGTTTTATTTCAAATTGGGCTTGGCTATGACTGACAAAAACAAAGAAAGAAGCATGAATAACAGTGGCTTAAACAACAATTGAAAGTTTATTTCTCTTCATGTAGATTAGGTATCGAGGTAAGCAATAGAGTACAATGTAGTGGTTCCAGGATCATTGGGGTTCAAGTCTCCTTTCTACAACAGGTTCTACAACTTGTGGTTTTCACCTCATGGTATAAGGAGGCTGCTTCATCTCTAGCCATCATGTTTGCATTCAACCCCTGAGGAAAAGGAAGAGGCAAGGAAGTTCATGCTTCCTTTACCTGATATTTATAAGAGCATTTTCTAGAACTAGAGCAATCTGTATCTATTTTATAGCCTGTTAGCCCTATCTTAATCACATAGCTATAAGAGTTACTGGAAAATGAGATCTTTATTCCAAGTGGCTATATGTCTAGCTAAAAACGGTGGTCTTTTGACAAAATATGATAAAGAATATTACAACAAGTGTTGTCTTCCACTTTCCATACACTTTCCCACACTTCTCTAATTTCTGGTAGGATGAGCATCTATTTAAGTTTATAGACCACTTGAATTTTTAATTCTATGAAGTACCAGCTTATTTCTTATGTTCATTTTTTCAATTCTGTTTGGTTTTCCTTATTAAGTTTTAGGGATTTATTAAATATCTTAAGAATTCCATCTATCTTTCTGTGGCTTTATATTTTAGGCATTGTTGCTTGGTGTCTTA